AGACATGTATAATATATTAGTTTTATCTTTCTATGTAAATTATTTTATATAAATAGGATGGTTTGTAAATGTTGGAAAGGTAAGGAGTTAGATTTCCTCTAGCCTGATGCTAATATTCTTCTTATATATTTTATTCTTTTATTTTTAGAGAATTTTACTTAGAGTTGTGTAATAATTCTTTAATTTTTATTTATTTATTTTATAATCAATAAACTATTTTATTATTTACATCTGTGTGATCTATAAATGATAATATTAACTATTTGAGTATAAACCTACAAGACAATTAGGTCTTCGTATTTAATCTGTGTAAAAACAATCAGGTCTTTTGTGTTTAATTTGTGTAAAGATAATCAGGTCTTTTGTGTTTAATCTGTGTAAAGACAATTGGGTCTTTGTGATAGCTTAATATCTTAGTGAAATATCAAATCAATACGCCTGAGTGATACAAGTTATAAGTCCAGGACTTAGGAATAAATCAGTAGATTACTACATACATTAAAAAGAAATAACACTCTGACACCCCGTCTAACAGTTGTAGTTCGTAAGAATTACACGTTAACAATATTAATTTCTAAGAAATTATGTAAAATTATTGCACATAATGTAAACAAAACTCCAATTTTAACTTTTTTAATATCAAGATTCCTTAATACCCTAAATCTTGCTTTTAATCTTCCAATAGCATTTTCTACTACAACTCGATGAGATGAATGAAAGTGGTTAAAATCTTTTTGTTTTTGAGAATTTGGATCTTTAAAAGGTGGAATTAAAAAAGGAGAAATAGGATATGCAGAATCACCTAAAAGATAATCATTTCCTTGAATAAGATTAGAATAATCTTTATAAAAAGAAGAATTTCTAAAAACTCTAACATCATGTACTGAAGCAGATCAACCTATATCAAAACTAGTAAAAATCCCTCTGTCATTTACAATACCTTGACAATGAATAGCATAATGTTTTTTTCGAGTAAAATAAACTTCTGAATCTTTGTTTGGAGCATTTTTCATAAGAATATGTGTTCTATCAACTGCTCCAATTATATTTTTTAACCCTCCTAAATCTTCAAACCCTTTATGAACTTTTTTACACTCTTCCAAAGTAGATCACTTGACAAAAATTTCTTTTTGTGTCACAATTGCTTGAATAACTTGTTTAGTATAAAGAATTACTGTTCCTTCTCCTATTCCAAATTTTGAACAAACTTCAAACAAACTTCCAGTAGAACCAAGTCGACAAAAAAATACAGCTAATTGAAGTTTAACACAAATTTGAGGTTTATTTCCTTGAGATAAAAATAATCAGCTAATTGTTGAAAATGATGTGGAAACATTCGCAAAAGTTTTTTGAATCGAATAGGATCATAAAGTGAAAGAATATTTTGCCATCAGTCTTTTGATTTAGCTACATGGTATATTCGGGGGTTTAAATATCTTGTGTTTGACCTTTGTATTAAAACAGTTTGTAAAATTATATTATCTTCTTCTTTACAGAAGAAGCTTCATCTTCAAATTTAACTCCTAAAAGCTGTAACCATAACGCATTATATGTTCGTTCTTCACGACCCATATTAAAACCATTGAAACGAAATCAATCGATCTGATCAAAAAATTGTACTCAATTATAGCTACAATTTTATTGGTTATTGATTTTGCCGATCTGAGCAATCCGATTTAGAAATGAACAGGGCTACTGTATGTATTTTTATATATAATAAATTTACTTATAAAACAATTGGATCAAACTGAATTACAATGAAGGTTATTTGAGTTTAGTTAAAAAAACCACTTAATACTAGACTGATTTTACAATGGACATAGTATAAAAATGATTGTTATACTACTTGAATTTGAACTATGCTTTCAAAAAATTTCTTAGTAAACATAATACCATATTTTTCTAAAATTAGTCACCCCCTTTTTGCAAGGAGTTTGGATGCTTAATTTTGACACTTTTTGTTCTTTTGAAAAATGTGGCATATCAAATGAGTTACGAAGATATTGATGAAATTATTAGGGAAATTCAAGATGAAAATAAAGAGAGATGATGATTTGCTTTATTTGTAAACATTATAAATAAATTGTAGGCGTAATACATGAAGTGTAAAGCAGTGTTGGATTTTGGACTTGTCCAATTGCTTATTTTAATTGGACAGTTTTGGATGTATCCAAAATTGTCCAAAATTTCTATGAGTTTTGGACTGTCCAAAATAAATTTAGGACTGTCCAAAACTGTCCAAAACT